ATAACCCCTCGAAACGGCTTCCAGTCTTGTTGAGTTTGAACGGAGAAAAACGAAAAAAAATCGAAAAAGCCCTCTTTGAAAGCTGGACAAAATTATACAGCCACCTGGTTTTTCTAATCACTATCGCATTCGTTGACTCTCAAATTTTTTGTACAATTACATCCCAAAATATGAAACGTTTGCGACACTTACGGCCTGTCTTTCTACTCAAATAGAAGCAATCGCTGCATTTCTTGCTTTTAAAAGCATTAAAAGTCAATCTCCTTCAACAAACAACTCTTTAAAGAGTTTTCAAGCTCTTGTGCATTCCAAATGATAATCATGGAATCTACTGACCCTTCTGGATAGATGAGGTGAAGAGCGCTTTCGTAAACTCTGCGTAATCGCTGATTTTGACGAACAGACTCCAACCTCACCATAGGGTTGACGCACTTTTGCACCACGAAACTCGATTTTCAAGTGACAGAAAATACTGTAATGTAGCCATTACGACAGTCGTACAACAGTGAACTCGTGTGCATGACTGGGAAGAATTTTCGGGACTGAGCACTCTGATTCAGCCGCAGTTGACATTCACTGAATGTTAAGTGGAGCACCTTGTACAATCAAAGCCAACTCAGATCACGAGATAAAACCGGAGACGCTTGAAACTTCAAAATCTTAGCTAATCTCATTCATCGGGTGAAATAAGACATGAAACACAGACGGAAATAAGGAGATCTAAGGTTATATCGAATCTTCAGCTCGCAGGGAATTTTTGTGGAAAGTATTCCAGGTCTAAATCGCTACCGCATCATTAGGAAAAATCTGAAAGTTGTTGCGAAAGCTGTATCCCCGTGTAGACAATGTGATAAATCAAGTTCAGCACTTTGTGGACATTGCTAACTGAGTTTTGTGGTTTAAAAGTGCGTCAACCCTATGGTGAGGTTGGAGTCTGTTTGTCAAAATCAGCGATTACGCAGAGTTTACGAAAGCGCTCTTCACCTCATCTATCCAGAAGGGTCAGTAGATTCCATGATTATCGTTTGGAATGAACAAGAGCTTGAAAACTCTTTAAAGCAGTTGTTTGTTGAAGGAGATTGACTTTTAATGCTTTTAAAAGCAAGAAATGCAGCGATTGCTTCTATTTGAGTAGGAAGACAGGCCGTAAGTGTCGCAAATGCTTCATATTTTGAGATGTAATTGTACAAAAAATTTGAGAGTCAACGAATGCGATAGTGATTAGAAAAACCAAGTGGCTGTATAATTTTGTCCAGCTTTCAAAGAGGGCTTTTTCGATTTTTTTCGTTTTTCTCCATACAAACTCAACAAGACTGGAAGCCGTTTTGAAGGGTTATGGTAGGTTGACATGCGCACAATACAGCAAAATTTCAGACAGATTCATTGACAAGAACAAAAATTACGACGATTTCTAGAGTGGCTGTATAATTATGTCCACCACTGTATATCTAAACGGTTTTCAAAAGTGATGAAAGCCGAATTAAGAGCTCGAGATATTTGAGAGTACAGGCCTAGAAACCAAAAGAGAACAACGAAAGTTTATCTTATATATAAAGCTGAATGTCTGTTTGTATGTATGTATGTCTGTCTGTATGTTTGTCTGTGTGTACGTATGTTCCGAATAGAAAATTCCATTTCTGAACCGATCGGGACCAAACTTGGCACACATACACTTCGGGCCCCGGCGGGTGTCATAGGCTACTTTTCGTATCGATCGATATCGATTTTATCGATTTTTTGCAAAATTTGAGCTACGGGGCTGGGAGTTGGCACAGGGGGGTAAGTGAGCATGGGGATTCCGAATACAATATTAGTTTTTAAAATCGTGCATTACTTTTATCGATTTTATCGATTTTTTTTGCAAAGTTGATAAAATTGATAAAAGAGTAATGCACGGTTTCGAAAACTAATATTGTATTCGTAATCAGCATGCTCGATTACCCCCCCCCTGTGCCAAATCCCAGCCCCCTAGCTCAAATTTTGCAAAAATCGATAAAATCGACCTCGATCGATAACGAAAAGTGGACTGTGACACCCGCCGGGGCCCGAAGTGTATGTGTGACAAGTTTGGTCCGGATCGGTTAAGAAATGGAATTTTCTATTCGGAACATACGGAGGAGCCGGGTAAGCCAGCTATTTCTGAATAAAGGACATGATTATTCTCCGAAACGATTTGGTTCTAAGATTTCTCCTTTTCTCTTTCCTGGGGGCATGAAACATCTGACAGAAGAAATATGCGCTTTAGTTGCGACGTTTCATTATGTTTGGCTCTTATCAAATTGTGATACTAAAGGTGAGTCTCATTGCCCAAAGGGTATTACTGCCACCATTCCTCTCTCGTGTACTTTATCGGAGCACTGGTATCTTATTGCCAATCGCATTTCCTGCGCGTTCATGCTTTGGTAGTATCGATGCATAACCTCAAACCTGTTTATTGTCTACCATACAATCCAAAACTGTTGTCCTTCAGCCATGATTTTCCACCTTTAGGCATTGCTTCAGAAAGCTGCCTTCGACCTCAAGCAAGAATGATCATGGCGAGAAAATAAAAGCTATCCATTGCCCGTTCTTCATTATCGCTGCGATCTTTACCACCGACTTTACAAAGGCAGTACGCAATAGCAAGGAAGGCAAATACAATAAAGAGAGCCCTCATTTGAAAAAAATTGCCGCAATTCACTAAAATTATATGCGATTCAAAGTCATTCGCATAAGATGCTTAGTGAATTAAGTGAACAAGGCATCACAGAAACGTAATCAAAGATATCTTTTACAAAGACTCTTGCTGGAAAGGCATACCAGACAAGGCGTCCACGCACAAAAACGAGACTATTTCAGCTGTTATATGCTTGAAATGTGATGTAAAGAAGTGCTCGATGTGTATTATGCTACTCAAAACTATCAAAACGCCATTAGACTGCCCAGCGTCTAATGGCGTTTTGATAGTTTTGAGTAGCATAATACACATAATATAATATAATAAAATGCAAAGCATTATCTTTCAAGAATCAGAAACATTTGTATAGACAAAGAGATACTAACCTTTATGATTTCCTATTTCTTTGTCTCTTTACCATTGTGTGCATCCATACCCTTTGCTGTAGAATTATTGGACAAAACGTACTGTTATATAAGCACGGAAATTTTTAACACGGAAATTTGCTTGTTTATTGAGCTCCTTTTGCTGTCTTTCTAAGGTATTTGCAAACATTGCAAAAAGTTGAAACCTTCTTGATTAAGAAACCCCGGGAAGATCGACCGGTTACGAATAGACATTTGACTCACTGCATGCGAGAAAGTTCTTTTGTCAAAATGGCGTTCAAATAAGGGCACTTTCTCATTATGGCACGCGCCATACTTGATCCGCTTCATCCCCTTCGCCCGCTTGGTCAAAGGCAGAGTGACCAATGGCGAACTGTATGAAGCGGATAAAGCGGATCAAGCGAAGTATGGCGCGTGCCTATCCGGACTCGTTTTTGTAGATAAGTAATTCGCCTTTTTCGCTGTGCTTGCATGGGTCAAACTCTACAAAAGAAAAAAGTTTTGTGATTGTATTTGTTACGTGATTGGGCAACCTATTGACCTAGATGATATGTTTTGTTGAGACTTTCTCTAGAAATATAAGAAGCGCAGTTGCCAACTAAAAACGCACTTTCAACCAAATCATTTTGCTATATCAACAATAATAAACATGCGAGTAAAGCTGAAAGAGGTGCACACAGTGGCGAAACAAAAGCTGGGAAATACTGACCTTATTAAAACTTTTGATAAGAAGCCGTTGTTCAGATAGGGTATCAAATTACCGAAACCTTGGAAAGCATTTCAGATGCTTCATAACATTTCGTGTTGATTCGCAACACTGTGTGGAATTGCGGTTTGAAAATAGTTAAACATACATATGTTACAAAAACCGCTACGTTACGCGTTCACAAACAACAAAATACCCAGCTTCGTTCAGTCCCCTGTCAGTATAATAAATACTCGCCATTGCATTCCATTTTTACGCAATATATTTTTATAGATGTCCCACTTCTCTACGCCAGATCATTACCCCACGTTTTCATAATTAGCATGCTCAATTACCCCTTTGTGCCAGCTTCCAATTTCGTAACTCACAGATTGCTAAAATCGATAAAATCGATAACGATTGATACGTTGACGACAAGCTGTTTTTTGACTTCTGTTTCTGTGGACGAACCGTCTCTGGGCATTAGCTGCATGCATGTATGTATGCATTCATCTATGCGTGAGATACAAGACTACAAGTGGGGTGGGCGGGGCAGCTCCGCACACTTTTGGCAAGCTCCGCGACTTCTCGCAAATGCCGTAATCTGCACAAAATTCACGAATTCGTGCAAATTTCGGCATTTTTAAAAAGTAAGCGGGGCTTGCCACAGGGGGGGTGGAGCCTGCATAAGCTGGGCGGGGTTGAAATCAAGGTTGATTTGAGATTCTTCATTATCTACGAGCTTTTCCGAAATACTTCTGAACCTAAATTGATTATGTGAACACAAATTCGAATCACTGTGCACATTAGAACTGATATTTAGGGTGTCGCGCACCGTTGGGGGACAACCGTTGCGGGGGTCGTCAACGTGTTAAACGAAGAACCTGCGGCGTGCTCCATCCTGAAGTTTGTATGTGCACGGTATGATTCGAGTAGGTTCAAAAATGAAATTTTTTAACCGTTGCATGGGACATAAACAGAAAAGACAGACAGAGACGCACAAACAGACACAGATCAGGAGAACTCAGGCATTTTTGAACAAAACACTTAAATTAGTTGACACTCTCTTGACATGTAGCAGATAGACCCCGAAAAAATTAGAATGATTGCCATATCAGACTGAAATGCATTCTTCATAACATCTTTACAAAAAGACGGGTCAAAGGAACGGAAAAGTGCCGGAATGAGTGCATGCCAAATCAGCATCAAATGCTAATATCTATTCGTGCATTGGCATCAGCGTACGCACAAAAGATGTGGAAGAAAGATAAGGAGAACGTGTTCGCTGTCTAAAGTGTTCGAGCTCTTGAATCTTCGCGGTGGCAATCACATCCACAATGCACCATTGTTGCGACTGCACATTGCTCCAGTGTTAGTTTAATACCATGATCAAGCATATAAAGTTTCGGATAAAGGGACAGATAAATAAGCTTGAGATCATCGCTCATTGACTTTAGCAATGTAAATCTCACTTCAAGTGGTCATTTACCAAAGCTGTCGCTCACTACATTATCATAACGGCTCTGCATCGCCTTGCAGATTTGTAAAGTGAGTAATCACTGAACATCTTATATTACGAAGACTAACAAACAAAAAGCATTCCAGTTTTACGCAAACATGAACAAAATGAAATAGAATTTGCGATTGAGATATTCACTAAAAGAGCTGTGATTTGAAAAAAAAATGCATAATTGGAGCTTTTCGCGAATTATTGAGCAATAATTATGGTATCAAAAAAGTTGCTTGAGTCCGATATGTCCAGTTTTTTCATAACTGCACGTGGTGAAGTCTCACATATACTACTTCAATGAAAAGAAATCTGAGCTCTGGATGAATCGCAAAACTAGTGATTGTTGTATCTCTCCCTCTTTACCAGCGCTATGGCTATGCGAACTAAAAGTTTACCGTTTTTCTGTGAACCGCTGTAAAAATATTATGTTAATGCTTCCGTCCGTCCATAACTTCAAGCCAGAAAAATAGTTATCCGTACAGAATTGCTGATGAGCATTTCGGAGAACAGCGCTTTCTGTATCAGATAATTGTTGTCAATTTCCAATAGCGACATCATTAGATATGGCGCATGTTATCATGATAGTTCGTATCAACTAATAAACATTTTGTTTTTCCATTTCTAAACTGCTCAAAAACCTCTTCCTAGACGGAAAACGGCTGCATTCAGCTTTATGCACATAAAAGACTTTTGCATTCCCGACAAGACGGTTTCACAAAGATTATTTGAATTAGCTTGTTCCAGCATTCAAGCCGCTTATTGCATGTATTTCAAATTAAAGGATAAATACTCTGCATAGTAGTTTTTAAAAGTTTTCAAATCAACAGATCCTTATCCGCTCACTTGATCGCGCAAGTTTCAAACACATTGTCTCCACCATGTCCAATTTCGGCTATTATTCAAGATGTTCTTTTCAACTTACGTAAAAATTGCGAATGCAAACGGAGCATTTTTTCTACAAAGTAATAATTTCTATTTTTTCCAAACGGTTCACCAGGATTTCGCAGAGGAATTTTGCAACAGCACATTCTCCTACTGACTAAAACTTTTCAGAGTTTTTACGGTTGAACGATTTGGGTATTATGTATGCATTTTTTTCTTTCTATTACATTTGATTTCTTTCCGTGTTCTGTGGAGTTCTATAGTTACAGCATATCAATGAGTGAGACAAGTGCGGAGATGGAGAGGACGACCTTATAACTGTGTGGAGCAGCCCGGTTTAGAGACTGCACGTTCTAAATTCAAAATCGTCAACCAGCTCTACTGGGATGACATTGATTACAGTACTATTTGCTTAAGAGCGGGGACATTTGTGAACAGCCTTTAGAATTTTCGAGAAGGCATTGGAAAAATTAAAAAACTATTGCGTAGCCAAACATTTGCTAGGGGGGGGGGTATCTTCGGAAGTCCTAAAAAGACACAAGAATAATTAGTATGAAAACATAGATGTTGATCTAGTATAGCGATCATGTGATGATTCGATGGATTTTCTGATTAGTGGCATAAATTGTTGTAACAACTTGAATTCTGAAATGAAGTTGTCCTTAAAAAACTCCTCACCCTTTCCAATCATTTGGTCTACGGATCACTAAGGATATTACCGTTGATGACCACAGAAGGAAACCCTTCAAGGCAGCGTCCAGGCAGATCTGGACCTATGGGGATTTTACGTGGAAAGTACTTTTGGGGCCCTAACTAAGGCACCTCTCAAGCGGCAGCGCAGGTAGTGCTCTAACGGCTGAGATATTCCCCTCGAAACTGGACCCCGCGATCGTATTCGCATGGTTTCATGGCAGTTTCGCGCCAGGACACACGCTTTGCGCCATGAATCCATGCGAAATACGATCGCGGGGTCCAGTTTCGAGGAGAATATCTCAGCCGTTAGAGCACTGCCGGAGCTTCCGGTTGGGCAGTGGCTTAATTAGGGCCCCACAATTACTATCCACGTGAGATCCCCATGTGTCCATACTTGCGTGGACGCTCCCTTTAACTACAACTTTGACTTTGGAGCTGAGACAGCGGTAGAATGAGTAGAGATTTGTGAAAGCAAGGTGTGCTTAAAAGTTTTCTTATTGCAAAACATCTCCAAATTAGAGTAGAGTGGTGTAATAAAAAATATCGATCTTTATACTTAGTTAGCTAAGGTTTTGTTGTACTGCTCCTTTTTTTCCTAGAATGCGAGTACTTTTCATTGTGCTCGCTTTCCTTGCAACTGCTTCCTGTCTCTGTAAAATTGGTGGAAAGGACCGCAGTGAGAATGAAAAATGGGTAATGAAAATAATTCTTTTGTCGTCATAATCACGACTGCTTCAGACCAATGACAACTTCATGGTACAATGCCAGAGGACAAAAAAGGGCTGGAAAGCAAAAGTTATAGGATGTGTGGTAGATTCCCATGAGGTTCGTAGTATTGCATGATATCAGTACGATTGAGCTGAATCAGTCCAGCTGCGATAATATCCCTTTTGCAAGGCAATAAGGTATCTCTTCAAAATCACCTAAGTATCACACGAATCATAAAAAAAGAAAATCTGTTTCTTGCAAGCAATTAGTATGTTCAATTTCTGGAACAAAACCACCAAATTAACACGAAAAAAGTTTGCACCAAACACGAAAGCTGAAAAAAAAACACTTATGCAATTCCATACTTCCGGGCGTAGGAGCAATATTAACTATTATTATATAAGCGGAAGCGTATGCGCCATGCGGGTAAAAAGCCGTTCGTTTCTCTTGGTCATGTGCTCGCCCGACAGTAACAATTTTTTAAATTACGGAACTTGCCTAAAAGCAAAGAGATGAAGCTTTGTATTTCTACAAAGGACAGAATCTGTTGCGTATCCCAATTGTGAGACTGTAGCTTACGGCAAGCCGGTGGGGTCTGAGGTACTCGACTACATTTTCGCGTAAAATTCTATTGCCGACTAGAGGCGCAAACATCTGAGAGACAACACAAAGATTAGCGTGCGCTACAAACAAAGGTTAATCGTTTACATGAACACCACCAGCGTTACTTGCACTTTTCTGGAGAATTTGCTTCACACATATATATGCCATTCCTGTTCATCGACCTCCTCTCAAGTTGATAATAATTTGGTACATTTCCTGGTTGACATCGGCTCAGATACTGCCCATTGTGCCTTGCTTTTTGAACGTTAACGAAATTGCGCATTTTCACTACTCTGTCTTGCGGGACAAAGCTTTCCGGAGATAAAGTGAAACTTTTGGGTAAATCACACATGGTGTCACTTACAGCATTCCAAGTACTTCTGAAAGGCAACCCTCAAAAGGTTTTGAGTTTATGAAGTTGAGCTTTGCCGTCGCTTTCCCATCTTCCCGTAACTTATATTTAGTCACTTTCACACTCACGTCAAGCAAAAAATCGTAAATGTACTTTGGTAGCTCAAACTTTTCACATTAACTAATTTTTATTAGACAACGGATATTTTGTCTCACAAAGATTGAAAGTGTGTTTCTTGAACGTATTAAGTAAAAACCAATTTTACAGATCCCCGTTGGTGGCAAGCTATTACTTGGAAAAACAGCTTACCTATGCGAAAAGTCAAAGGAAGGGGTGGTATTGCGTTATCTTTGGTACTAATCAAAGAGCAATCCTCAATAAATATTTCCACTTTTATTGTATTGATGGAATGATACTTGGATTAGCACTTCGATTTCTAAGGTCCTTATGCACGTACATCCCTGCTGGAGGAGGGAGGGATCTGAGAGGTCATGCGTCATATCTCGCTACTCTAAATGTCTTCCTTCTTTTTCTTCTATCTTTCTTATACAGTTTTTCAAACACTCATACCCGCGCATGATTGATGTCAGTTTACTTCCAAACAAAATTAGTTTTTTGTCATTCTATGTCATCTCCAGGGAATCCCCATTTTCAATGCCTTTTATCTTCCTGGAAACTCGATGAAACGCTGCAAAATTGTACCGTGGATACACTACGTCACAGCTTAACATGTTTATAGCAGAGATAAGTGAAATCTCAAGATATCAAAGTCTTCGACAATACCTGGCTCGCTAGCCAGGGATCATCGAAGGAATCACAATCTTCAGATTCCATTTCTCCTGTCGAAAACATACTTGGCGGTGTCGCACTGTATCCTCAGTATGATTTTGCAGCGTTTTCATTGACTTATTAGGATGATAAACCACTTTGAAAATGAGAGGTGATCCCTAGGGGATCCCCTGGGGATTCCCAGTAGATCACATAAAATGGCAAAAAACTATTCTTGTATGGAAGTAACCTGGCATCCATTATGTGCAGATATAAGTGTTTGAAAAGCCGTATAAGCAAGATAGAGAAAGAAGAAGAAAGATACGTAGAGTAGCGAGATACAGTGCTGGCCACAATTATAAACACACTCTAGAAATCGTCGTAACTTGCGTTCTTGTCGATGAATCTGTCCGAAACTTTGCTGTATAGTGCACATGTTAGCATATCAGATCCCTCAAAACGGCTTTAAATATTGCTGATTTCGAACGGAGAAAGATAGAAAAACTCGAAAAATCTTCTAACAAAAGCTGTACAAAATTTTGAACACCATCGCATCCTCTGACTCTAAAATGTTTTGCACAGTTATATACTAAACCATGAAGCATTTGCAACATATGCGGCCTGTCATCCTTTTCGAAAAGAAATGTTCACTCATTTTTTGCTTTCAAGAAGCACCAAAAGTCGATCTGCTTCAACAAACAGCTGGTTTGAAGAGTTTCCAAGCTCTTGTCCATTTCAAATCATAGTCATAGAATCCATTTAGCCTTTTGGATAAACGAGGTAAAGAGCGCTCGCTGATATGAACGGAGACTCTAACCTCAACATAGGCTTGCCACGCTTTTGAACCACAAAACTCAGTTTGCAATGTCCATAAAGTGGTGATCTTGATCCATTACATTGCTACATGGTTATGCAGTTTTCGCAACAAATTTCTGGTTTTCCCTATCGATGCGGTAGCATTTCAGACCTGAAAAACTTTCCACGAAAATTCTCTGCGAGCAATGAATTCGAGATACATGAATCTCACCATTCTCCTTTCTGTTTAATGTCAAATTCTACAGAAGATTGAGATTAGCTAAGATTCTGAATGTCTGAGCGGTCTCCTGTGCTATCTCGTGATCTGAGTTTGCCATTATTATGCAGGGTGCTCCACTCAACATTCAGTGGATGACAGCTGCGGCTGAACCACCACACCAACTTCGGAATTTTTTCCATCTATGCTCTCAAGTTTATTGTTGCACAGCCGACGTAATGAAATTAAAGTATTTTCTGTTGCTTGAAAGTTGTGTTTTGTGGTTTGAAAGCGTGACAAGACTATGTTGAGGTTGGAGTCTGTCGTCCATATCAGCGATTACGCAGAGTTTACGAAAGCGCTCTCTACCTCGTTTATCCAAAAGACTAAATGGATTCTATGACTACGATTTAAAATGAACAAAAGCTTTGAATCTCCTCAAACCAGAGCTTTGTCGAAGCGATTGACTTTTGGTGCCTCTTGAAAGCAAAAAATGAGTGAAAATTCCTCTTCAAAGAAGATGACAGGCCGCATATGTTGCAAATGTTTCACAGTTTAGTATGTAACCGTACGAAAAAATTCTGAAGTCAGGGGATGCGATGGTGTTCAAAAAAAACCAGGTGTATTTATAATTTTGTCCAGCTTTTGGTAGGGGATTTTTCGAGTTTTTCAATTTTTCTCTGGTCGAATCCAACAATATTGGAAGCCGTTTTGAGGGGCCATGGTAGGCTAACATATGCATCATACAGCGAAATTTCGGTTTCGACAGATTCATCGACAAGAACGCAAGTTACAACGATTTATAGAGTGTCTTTATAATTATGGCCGGCACTGTATGACGTATTCCCTATCAGATCCCCTCTCCTCCTCAGCGGGGATGTACGAGCATACGGGCCCAAGTAGTCTGCTTTGATGTTGAATCGGCATTCAAAAAATTTGTATCTGATCTCATTGTGATGTGTAGAGTGAGTCAGTCACCAATGCTGAGCACTCCCACGGATAGATACACTAAGCATTATAGTCAAGAACTGAGAGCTTGTTACACTCATAAATGACCACCGATTAGAAGAAGTTACATTGCACATGAGCAATACAAACCGGATTAAATCAACATACTCGTCGCTGTGCTGTACGCGATGCAGCCGGTATTATTAGCGGTAAATGGCAGCTTTTACCGTTTTCAACTTTTTTTAGTAGTTCTCGAAGGCTTGCAAATTATTCTTGTACGTGGCTTCCTCTCTTGTTAAAAAGCTTCCAAACTTGTAGCAAGACTTAAGAGTAATCGCTTTTTCATCTTTCGTCACGTCAACAGTCTCAAACCATGGGCGCTTTCATTTGTACATTGCTCCAAACGTTTCTTCACCAAATGCGGACCACATAAACGAACGAAGAAGCATTTTTAGAAAGAATTGGACTGGAACGTCTAAAAATCCATTCAGTCGAAACACAAAAAGAAATTTGCAATTTCTGCTATCGTGATGTTTGTATTGGTCCTGCTTCAAGACTAGTTATATCAAAGAAGTACTGACATTCTGAAATACAAAAAGGTAATCAGGCAAAATGTTTTGGAGCAGAAGTGATGCGCAAAAGAAAAAAATTTTCTCAAACTCAAAGGCAATATTCTGTAACCTTGCTAGAATTTTTGTGTTACAAGTGGAAGCGGTGTACAGAGATGGAACGAAAACGAGCAGAATGTACGATGAAAATCGATCAAAAGCGATCAGTGATACTTTCACAGTCCTAGAACCACGTGGGTGGTGCCGTGCACGCCGCACAACGGCACAGTTTGAGCGCTGTAGTCAACTATGCGAAGTAAACACAGCCCAACATTCTCAATCCACAGACTTTCTGTATGTAGCGTAAATTGGTGGCAAAGCATGGCGTACCTAATTTTCTGTTGCTCGTTATTACACAGTATCGAGTACAGTGATTATGCGAAGGTTTCGGTAAAAGCCTTGTGCAGAGCTAATTTTATTCATTGTTTTCTCTTAAAGGAGTGAAAGGTGACTAAAATGTTATCTACCGTTATCCAATCCCACAGTAAATTTGGAGCGATGTCATGTAGAGCCTTGTTCCAACTGAGCCAAGTTTGACCCCTTAAATTTACTGCTAAATTCAAAAAAAATTGCTAGATCGTCGAATTATTGACTTATGCGTGCTTTTTAGAGAAGCTTCTCCCTCTGAACGTCTAATGTCGATGAGAGCTATGAGAAATAAGTATTAATAAGCATGAATACAATCTGACTATCACCTCCATCCGATCGGCACACCTTGCAGCTCGGAAATTGAGCTCAGCAGTCCGCAGAAATCTTGAACTCAATGAAGAGTTTAAGAAATGAAATTTATCAAAGAGCTCAGATTTTCATAGAAAATATGAAGCTGTATTTGCTAAAGGAAAGCTGCTTTAATGTAAATATCGCACATGTTTTTTTTCTTGCAAAGGCAGCTCATTTCTTCTTGTAGAAACCTGGAAGATTTGATCTTTACCTTTGTGAAGTTCAAGTTTATTGAGGCGGAGATCTTTGCGGACTACTGAGCCAAATTTAGGAATTCCAGAGTGCGCCAAACCCAAATAATGATGAGTTAGATTGAACTCAAGTCAATTACTGCTTTTTCTGTTTTTCTGTCACACACTCTTATCGACATTAGAAGTGGAGCTGGTAAACCTTTTGAAGCTCACATAAGCCAAGTATTTTCTAACAATCTAGCAATTTTTCCAAACTTTTGGTCAGACCAATTTGGTCTATAAAATCTCGTTTCGAGGAATGTGATTGGGGCCCAGTACGAGAAACGTTTGATATTCTTGAAAAAAAATTCTTCTTTGACATTTGAAGATTACGAAATACCTTTTGTAGTGTTTGTAGAAGTACGTCTAATGTACTGCAGCGAACGGTGAATGAATGGAAGTAGGAAAAGACAAGGAAAGTTGGAATCAAAAGCAACACGTGGAAAAAGGCGATGTCGTCTTATGTGTGCTGTGAAAAAGGACCCTGAAAACTACTTAGGCAAATATTCCCGTGGCACCAAAGTTTGCTTTGCGAAATTTTAGGAATGCAGGATTTTTTCGAAATTGGTTTGCATGACATAAGGGAGGTCCAATTAGTCGAAGTGGCCTTTCCAAATGAGTCTTTTACCACTTTGAAGAGCATCAAAGGGTAGTTCCAAATCTGATTTCATTATCTGCTGAGCACCTCTCCATGCCGGGTTATGAATATTTTTTGGTGCGAAAATTGAACGCATAATTGTGAAATCAGATTTTATGGTCTTCTCAGCGCTCGAATAGGTAGCATTAAGTATGAGCGTTTTGGACAGAAAGTAATAGTCAAACGGAGTGCTCTGAGAATTAACACCGGACCATTTGAGCAATTCTAACGAATTTTGTTCTAATTATGCATTAAAAATCTTCTACTCAAACGCTCATAACTCGAAGTCTAGAGGTGCTGGGCAGATAATGAAGAGAGATTTGGAACAACGTTCGATGCTCTTTATACTGGTGTCAATTTCATGTGGAAAGGCCACTCAAATGGACCTTCCTTGTTAGAATTCGGGGAGCAAGTGCAAAATTCTGAGAGCAAAAGTGGAATTTCTCGAGAGTATCCAAAGTTCCTGATTAAGTGGTATTTTTGCAAAGGTATTTCCAGCGGGACTGATTTTTGTGTATTGCAAATCTGCAAGAAAAAAAAGAAGTCTCTTAAAGGAATCACTCTCAAACACATTTTTGGGCAAACTGCGTAAAGCTAAATTGAGATATCTGTAGAAGTGTTCTATGTTAAGCATGTTGACTTTTACAGTAGAGGGAAGCTTGCACAATGCTTATCCTTGCTGGAGTAAAGTTTTACTAAAGTAAATGCTTTTATATGCGGACTCACCAAATTCAATGCAAACTCGCGAAAATATCCACTTTCCTCATAGGATGTCCCGTCGTAAAATTTGTATAACCACCTTTTTAACTGGAGCAGAGCTTGCTCACCACTTTTGAACGCAAAAGCTCTCAAAGTACTATAGTCCCTAAATGGATTCCTTAAATGAAGTTAATAAAAATCTTACAAGGATATCCTCTGTATGAGGACCTCTCCTGAGAAGTTTGAACTCTTAAGCTAGACGAAAACTTGCGATTTTGATGAAGTTCATAAAAATTAAACAATGATAAATTCGCAATAGCTAAGACCATACGATGAGTCAGCTGCTGACCTGATCAACCGTCTAGGCATGTTGCGGCTCGGTGGGCTCTGCGCCCCCTCACCTAGCGCTCGACTGCCTTGCGCCACAGCTCCTGTCCCCAAAGGACTTCCGCCACTGCGGGTGGCGCCAACTCACAATGGCGCGTTACGCCTACACTATACACGAAACAATAAAAATATATAAATTTACTAAACAAATACAAACGATAGATACACGACACAAATAAACACAAATATACTTACCACGGGGAGAGTTAAGCTCTACCCCGGGCTACCGACGGGGGCTCTAACTTACTGACACTCACACACTAGCACACTCACACACTCTCCCGGAATCCAAGGGAGCTACCCACAGACCGGCCGCGCGCCGCCAAGGCAGCAGCTACGGCACGGCAACACCGACCCCATGATGTTAACCAACAGCATCGAACAAAGCTCCCAACAAATCCTGCGCGACCAAGGCGCTTCGTGATGTTCATCATCCTGAAATTCTATCCTCGCGCGTACATCCAAACAATCCATCAACGATCCATCCAATCGCGCGAGGCACGGGGACGTAGACACGACGGCAATATCGTGGAAACCCAACCAATCAATAATAAAGGCGGCACGACGATAACAGTAAGATGACAAGACGAGAGAGGCCGCACTGGCGCGCGTACGCGCTATTTATAGCGGTGGCTGGGGGCGTGCCTACATGGTGTGGTCTCGGAGCGAACAAGGTAGCCGCCGTAAAGCGCGGCGACCGTGCCCACGACCGAGACGCGCGGCAACACGGTGCTCCCGGCCACATGCTGTGAGGAGCGGTCGATCGCGAGCCGCGACACTCCCCCCCCCCACAACGAAAGGCATTGGGCGTTGCGAATAGGTGGTTACGTGATAGCACCGTGACCTGGGGCAACTGCCTTAACCTAAAAATTTGGGCGATAATAGAAAAAAAAAGAAACATGCGGCATCGGTAGCGAGGGAACAGGCAATAACCCGCTCCGTGGTAAAACACAAAAATAAACACAAAACTACAGGCGCTTTGACGCGCGGGTGACTACTAGAATAAACCGAGGCGCTCAAGGCGCTTACCAAATAAGTATGAACAATGCTAAAAAACACTTCGATGGATACTGGACTATTTACAGTGTTTCAGGATGAACGTTCCGATCCCATAACGTCGCCAGCATCCCATCTCGCCCTCCATCTCGACCAGCGCTGATCTTACTGCGCATCCAACTCGCACTACGCCCCTCGCACCACCAACATCTACCCACTCTAAATACACTAATGCGTTCATCATCGAGGGAGCCTAATGCCCGAAACAAAACTTACCACCTGCGAACCTACATGTCGTGCGTCCTGGAACGCACATCCTGAAACAAAGGAAACCTCCACCCTCTCTTAATTTTGACTTAATTTACGATAAAAGGGGCACAAAATAAAACGATAAACTGAGAGGGTGTTGGCTTCCAGACGAAAAAAGTACCACGTCTTTCCAGAAACATTCCCAAATTTGCGTATCTAGCACCCATCCGGACCGAATTGGACGAAGGTCCAGCCTCCCGCCGAGGACAAAATGCCTCGACGAGGGGATCGACCCCGTAACTCAAGGACCCGGAGGTGCAGCGCTGTGGGTCTGTTCAACGAAAGACGGCCCAACCTATAGAGCAGATGTTACAGGAGCCTGATGGACTGCTCGCAATGGCTCTATGGTCGGGACTTAAGGCAATAAGACGGCGCGTCCGGTGACGGCTGCAACTTCCTAAAGTAGACTATACCGCTAGGCTGCTCGACGGAGTAGCAATGATAAACAAGTTAGAAAAATTAGCGGAAAATTTGAATGATGTTAACGCGCTACTACAATAGGAAGTATAACTGGTAAGGAGCTGAAAAACTAAGATGTTACGCGGGACTTTACATGGCGCGATAGATGTTAACGCGCTCCACAAGTGCGCCAGATGGTGTTAGTTGCTGGGCTAACTAGCGCGACAGATCTTACACGGTAAGTAGGCAAAGTATAGAAATAAAATTTTAGAGGCGCGACAGTCACAAGGATGTTACAGTGCGAAAATTGACTGACGCACAGATGCAAAACGTTAGTAAATTTAGGAGTATAAACTGTAAAAAAGGAAAATTCAAAACAAAATTTAAAATTAGTGTCGCCTACTAGTACCGTTCGAGTCCGCAGTATCACCCGGTTGCGCATCCGCCTGCGTGTCTTGTGAATTCGCCATAGATACTCGTCCACGAACTTCCATCAACTCCTGCCAGAAGTCGTCCTCAGACTCGCGCGTCGAAATTCCTATTCCCGGCTCGCCGTTGGTCCCATCATCCTTAAAATAGATCATCGTCACGAGGTATTCTAAGCTGATTAACGGCGCGTCCAAGCTGCGCAGCAAGACTTCCCTCTGGACGTTCCGACGATGAATCCACTGGCATGGGCATGATTGATACTTAGCGCGACAACTAAATGATGTTACGTACTTAGCCCACCTATTTGACGCGTTACGCTAAGTATGTACCGCACGTCGATGAAGAAGCGGGTTTACTATGCGCAAACTAAGTATAACCATGATCAAATGTTGGAATGTGAGCCAAGCTGCCGACGAAGACACTACAGCGAGTACGGGAGTAGGTGCTACCCGCAGAACCATTCCAATATTTAACAAAATCGGGTTACGCTGCATACTGAGAGTGTTCAAATAGGAGATGGAATGATGACACAATAAAACAGTGATGCAAACGAGGAGTAAGTCCGAGTATAAGCCAATCCAGGTAAAAAGAGGTAAATCCGGCGAAGCGACGGCGAAAGCCGCGCGTATAACCACAGCCGATGTTGGTGGCTACAGGTCCCTGACGTAAGCGTCCACAAACAAGTTAGTATAGACGTGTCTACTGATCGCGCGTCAGGTAATCTAAATCCAAGAAACAAATGCACTTCAAGGATGTGCTTGCCAAATACAGTAGCGGTCGCAGTTGCACTAGCTGGCCAGGCAAGTTAAACATACGAACAAGATGGTAGGAGCTATGAATAAGCAAAACACAATATCCCTGAGCATAACAATTGAGCCAAGTTACTACGGACAAAAATGTTTGTGAAGCACGGCTGGCGCGCCAAGCGCGATATCTCGTCGGACGACGATACAATTCAAAAACACGACGATGCCAACATAGATGTAAAGGGGTACTTCACTTGCCGAAGATGTAATCAAGTAAACTTGGCATGAAATCAAAGTGCAGATGGAACGCACAACGAGAACAAAGGCGCGATACTATTAGGAATACTCACGCGCAAGAAGAAGCCTATAGATGGAATAGGCAATGAGGAAAAATCTACACTGCGCCAACAGAAGATAACATACTACGAAAGGCGCGCTTACAGGATATAACATAAGAAATACCAGAATTGACGCGCAGTACAAGAAATATCCAAAAATGCGCGAATCGTACTGACGCATGAACGATGTACTGAACGCGCGTAAGGAAAAAGCCGAGTTTAAGTCAAAGCCGAGTGAATGATAGTCTTGCAGGTAGCCAAGGATCAAACAAAAATTAAAACTATGCAGAGCACTTACAGGAACAACTGCAGGGATACAGAATGGACCCAAGATGGAACGCGCGTGCAGAAGGTTCTGCAATGAGCATAAGGATTGTGATAAGCTCACGGCTCGCGAAGTTGCAAGAAAAACAAAAATACTGACTTGGCTGGAGACACAGGCTGCAATGCGGTAGGCAATAGCAACTGCAAAGATGGAACAAGTTCGCTATACACCAAAGATAGAATACTTAGCGGGTAGTACAAAATCTACTGACCTAACCGACGCTCTGAGGCCAAGGGAGATGAGGTTTGCGCGAAATGAACAGTTGGGTCGCGCGTTCACCGAAAATTACAAAAACACAAAAAAGGCTATGAATGCTTACTGCTCGCGAGACAATAAACAAAACATAGGGAACGAGGGAAAAAGCGCCAGAGATCTCATGGTCGATCACTATGCACAAGAAGGTGGGGTACACGCCGCCTAAAGTGCGCGCTCAACAGCAATCGTTTCAGGACCCAACTGAAGAAAAAGTGGGGAAATACGGGACAAAAATTAGAAAAGGAAAGGCATTTCGCCGTAAAAACACAACATCTGGCCTGATAATGAAAACAGAGCGTAAAGCTCGACAACGGCCTGGCACCAGACAAATCAGAACAGGAAGGAAAACAGATGCTCGGTACCTGGATGGAAAAAGGTAAGAAATTCTGCCTGTTTCCGATGGCTCTCTCTGTCAATCCGTCGTGTGATCGACGACATCGAAGATGTACCATGCCTAAACGAAGCGCGGCGCGCTAGGGGGGCAACACTCACACCCATCGGTAACCTAAAGAAAATACATATAATTATAAATAGAAAAATCACAGAGCACGCTCCCTACTACCCATGCCAACGAACAACCCTACTAGACCCTCTCAACTTGCCCAACCTACTCCACCACGAAGAGGAACAAAAAAGAGCGTAGTACGTAACGTGGGGGTAACCAAAGGACGTAAGGCAAACAGAGCATGAATAACGACAGAGTGTCACTGAAGAGCCTGCGCGGCACTAAGTGGCGCGCGTATAACAAGGTACGGGAAAGGTTATCCTGTCGGAGGCCGGTCTGGAAACTGCTCAGGGCTCCTGTCGGCGAACGGAGAGGCCATCACTGATGACCCATGGGCACTTGGACCATATCCTGCTAAAAAAGTGCTTCGTGCCAGTTGCCGTCTTTCGTCGTCGTCCTGCTGATGGTACCTTCCAGCGTCTTGCACGGCAATCCTATCCTTCTAGCACGGCTGCTCTCCGCTTGTACTAGGGGTGGTGGGCGAACTAAGGGGGCATAGCCTCAAGGGCCCAAGTGCGCTTATTGCACCAAAGAGGCTAACCTTACGGCCCCATGTAGCACTACGCCGGAGATAGAGGTCACTACGGGTCACAATTGGGCCAATCTTGTACTACGGACTAAACTACTAAACTAAACTACGGACTACAGGAGTTAGACTACGGGGACAAGACTAATTCCGGTTGTAGGGAAAACTAAACTACAGTAGAGCGAAGAAAAGAGGTGGTGTGAAAGAGAAACTAACAGGGTACGGATCCAAGGAACCCCTAGTACCAATCCAAACCCATACCCAACTCCAAACTCAAACCTACCCAAAAAAACACAAAAATACAAAAGCCATAGAATACAAAATACTAACTATAAAACCCCAGCTTACATAAAAGAACCCGAATCCCGTCTCCCCGGCTATGGTCCAAGCTCCTATATATGTATATAGGACGGTGCCGATCCCCAGCTGCGGTTCTTCGCGCGTCTTGAACTGCTCCACCTTCACGCGTCCACCGATACAGCTCTACGCAGCTCCATACCCCTCTCTTTGTCGCTCCTCCTGTCCATCCTCATCCTTCGCCTTCGAACTAGCGCGTACAACGATACAGTACTGAAACGCGTTCGACGATACAACACTGTGTACACGTACGACGATACGATACTGAAGCGTGTTCAACGATACAATACTACATACGCGTGCAACGATACAGCTCTAAATCGCGCTCCTTGACTTCCATCCGTCCGTCTTCGCACTGTCCATCTCCATGCCAGCTTCCCACTCGAACAACAATCCGACATCAAAACTCTCCTGGCGAGTGCTCCGGTACAGCTCTCTCGCGTCCTCCGATACAATTCAAAATGCGCGTACAACGATACAACTTTTCTTCGCGCCTCCACGATCTTGACTTCTGCGCGCAACGTGCTCAACGATACAACACTAAATGCACGTACAACGATACAACTCAGGCGCGCTCGCGATCGTCCTATCCTCCGTCTTCCTCTTCATCCTCCTTCTATCCGGCATCCATCTTCCATCCATCGTGCTCCTTCTAGGCGTCCATCTGTCAACTCTTCCTATCCTGCTTCCCCCAATCCTTCGTCCAAATCCCGAAGACTCGACTTGTGCGGCCGCTGGTACTCTCCGGTACCCCCTATCGAGCCCGCCGACTACGACACCGGCCCTCCACCTGTGCAGCACTTTCCAAGCGCGACAGGCTTACCAGGTATCGCATGACGTATGCGCTCGATCGATTGGGGTTCTAGTTGGCAAGTTGCCACAGTCTTCCCGACTACCCCCCCCCCGCGCTGACACGCCATGCTTCGCACCCTGGCTGCCTTCCGGCATTCTTGTTACTGGCTACGTAGGTATTCAGCTCTGCCTCTCTGTTTGCCAGGACTTCCTACTGGGGCGCTGAGCGTGGTAGCTTCGGGCTCGTTACGCACGCATGATGGATGGAATAGCGCGTTCCTTCAACAACGCAACAAAGACGCAACATACCGATGACACACAACCTGCTCCAACTTGCGCGACTAACCCATCCGCGGGCGGCGACGCCATCCACCATGCGCTCGGCATCGATGCACCATGTTGCGGCTCGGTGGGCTCTGCGCCCCCTCACCTAGCGCTCGACTGCCTTGCGCCACAGCTCCTGTCCCCAAAGGACTTCCGCCACTGCGGGTGGCGCCAACTCACAATGGCGCGTTACGCCTACACTATACACGAAACAATAAAAATATATAAATTTACTAAACAAATACAAACGATAGATACACGACACAAATAAACACAAATATACTTACCACGGGGAGAGTTAAGCTCTACCCCGGGCTACCGACGGGGGCTCTAACTTACTGACACTCACACACTAGCACACTCACACACTCTCCCGGAATCCAAGGGAGCTACCCACAGACCGGCCGCGCGCCGCCAAGGCAGCAGCTACGGCACGGCAACACCGACCCCATGATGTTAACCAACAGCATCGAACAAAGCTCCCAACAAATCCTGCGCGACCAAGGCGCTTCGTGATGTTCATCATCCTGGAATTCTATCCTCGCGCGTACATCCAAACAATCCATCAACGATCCATCCAATCGCGCGAGGCACGGGGACGTAGACACGACGGCAATATCGTGGAAACCCAACCAATCAATAATAAAGGCGGCACGACGATAACAGTAAGATGACAAGACGAGAGAGGCCGCACTGGCGCGCGTACGCGCTATTTATAGCGGTGGCTGGGGGCGTGCCTACATGGTGTGGTCTCGGAGCGAACAAGGTAGCCGCCGTAAAGCGCGGCGACCGTGCCCACGACCGAGACGCGCGGCAACACGGTGCTCCCGGCCACATGCTGTGAGGAGCGGTCGATCGCGAGTCGCGACAAGGCATGTCTAGATATGGCTGCCTCACTGACTCCTAACATTACATACACTGAAGGACAAGCGCGATAGGTCGACATCCTTCGTTATCAACGGTTGAATTCTGGTGATATTCCAAGGATCACATGACAGCGGTTGTGGAATGCCAGATTCCGGTAATACAGCGAGCAGCTTTTATGCACTACCAAGCGAAGTTAAAGTTTTCAACTCTAGAATGC